TAACAGCTCCACAAATTCCACGTAAGTGTGTCCAGCACATAATAATATTCTAATGAATCCTCATAGCAGCACTTGACTGGTAAGGACTGTTATAAATACTTGAGATGTATCCCCCTGGGGTATCCCATCATCCCTGTGATTGCAATTACGGAAGTCTCAATGCTCCTTTGGTCTTTTCTCAGAGGAAGTTGGTGAAATATGCGGCTGTATTCTTCTGAGGATCTTCTTTTTTAGCATTAAGAACATTTTAACTTGTCTGCTACATATTATACTACATATTAACTTAAAGATTCATATACTACTAGTGATTGAGTTAGTTTCATTCTGTTGTTTTTAACAAATTTCTAATGCTACAAACTACTTGGGCCTTGCACCTTTCAACTGTTATACATTGAGTTTAAGGTTGACTACCAATGTATTGCCTGTCTTGCCTGTAGTGAATGGGTGCCGTCAGAATGAGTCCAAATAGCTGATAAAAACATCACAATATGATTCAAGTCTATCAATCAATGTCTTATGAAGCCAAAAGCTGCATGTTTGTAAGAAATAAATCCATTAGTAAGGCTTTTTCATTTTAAACCCTCGGTTCTGGCCTAAATACCATAATGGTATTAATGTCCATAATGCATAATAATGCCTCCTCCAATAAAAAGTTCATCCCCTGTTGTCCTCTCACATCAAAATGCATTGACATATTTGTTTAGAAATGGTGATTGACCTGTGCATATTTCTCACCTGATTAAGACCAGACATTTTTTAAGCAATACTGTGGATAGATGATTCATATTTTTAAGTTAAAACATCTTAATGATGGACCTGTTTCTTACAAACACTCAGCTTTTACTTCACAATTAATTGATGTACATGAAGTTATGTGGATTACTTGTGAATTATTGTGATGTTTTTATCAGCTCTTTGAACTCACATTAGGACGGCACCCATTCACTGCAGAGATCCATTAGTGAGCAAATGATCGCTAAATTTCTTCAAATCTGTTCCGATAAAGAAACAATCTCATCTACATCTTGGATGGTCTGAGGGTGGGTAAATGTTCAGCAGATTTGCTTCTTTTTTGGGGGAGGTGAACTGCTTATTTTACATGTTACATTGCCATGATGGAAAACATAATAACTGTTTGGTTTTTGGGTATTTTCTTTTTGTCTGAGTTTTCATTTTCAAATACACTTACATTTCCACTACCAAGTCAATTACAAGTCAAAAGTACAATTTACACCTGTTAAAGTAGTTAGGTGTATGAGAAACATTATGCCAGACCCATTAAATTGTTTCCTCTTCCTTGAACACATTTGTAAGGGTTCCATCAGTCATGTTCAGCAAAACCCACAAAATCTCCAAAATACAACAGTATCTGTTTCCAACAGCCCTGAATGTTCACCACACCCTTACCACAAAATATTCCTGTCACAATCATTCTGTTCAGGCATTTAAAAATACAAAGCAGAATATTGCATTCAATATTCAAGTTATACTTGGATAATGCTCAAAATATGGGAAAATGTATTTTTTGTATTATGGGTCATTCTACAAAACGGAAGCCATTAGCGTTCACAATGTAACCAACATATGTGTAAAAATTAATTGAACAATAACTGATGCAAGATGAAATAAGCACTTAAACAAAAATGTCTTAATATAGACATTTTTGTAACACAACACAAAAATAGTATGTTAAGAGTTTTGTTTTTTTCTTCATTCGAGGTGACTTTGATAACCAAAATAGCATTTTGGAACTTGAGCACAGACGTGTCTGTCAACCCAACTACCATCAACTCAGTTACCTTTCTGAAAGCATAATTGCATCTTTTAGCTTGAGATAATAACACTTAAACACATAATGTGTCTGAAAAATTTTTTTTAATGTGCATATATATTTTGACATTAGTATGAACCATTGTTTCCAAAGTTTCTTGCAATGTTGCAACGACAGAATTACATTTTAAACAAGGGCAAGGGCACACCAGAAAGAAACATTCACGATAGATATGTCAAGGAACCATGATAAGCCCATGGGAAAGGACAGGCAGCCTTGTATTTTTTGTATTATGGGTCATTCTACAAAACGGAAGCCATTAGCGTTCACAATGTAACCAACATATGTGTAAAAATTAATTGAACAATAACTCATGCAAGATGAAATAAGCACTTAAACAAAAATGTCTTAATATAGACATTTTTGTAACACAACACAAAAATAGTATGTTAAGAGTTTTGTTTTTTTCTTCATTCGAGGTGACTTTGATAACCAAAATAGCATTTTGGAACTTGAGCACAGACGTGTCTGTCAACCCAACTACCATCAACTCAGTTACCTTTCTGAAAGCATAATTGCATCTTTTAGCTTGAGATAATAACACTTAAACACATAATGTGTCTGAAATTTTTTTTTTTAATGTGCATATATATTTTGACATTAGTATGAACCATTGTTTCCAAAGTTTCTTGCAATGTTGCAACGACAGAATTACATTTTAAACAAGGGCAAGGGCACACCAGAAAGAAACATTCACGATAGATATGTCAAGGAACCATGATAAGCCCATGGGAAAGGACAGGCAGCCTTGAGGGAGGCAGAGACACACTCAGAAAGAGAGAGATACAGAGAGAGCTGTGGTTTGTGCCCTAATCATTTCCCAAACTGTGGCCCTGGGGGACAGACAACCAGATGATGGGGTTATTTACCACAGAGATAAGAAAGTGTAAAAACAGTGAACGGTTGCTGTTAGTCTGAGGAAAACGTAATCTAAATTTCAGATATTACCAGCAATAGCAACAGCAAAACTCAACCAATGAGCACAAAATAATTCGTTGTAAAAATACATATTTATATTCTGATTAAATATAACAACTGCTTTTAATTTCTTTTCATATTGTTATAATGATAATTCTAAGAAGCATCCATCCGTTTCTCAGTGATTTTAGGTTTAAGAGCGCCTCCTTGTTTCTGGTTCACAGTAAAACACCACAGAGGAGTTCATGAGTCTCCAATGAACGCACACACAGTCCATCCTGAGTAGTAGACCACTGTCATCCATTGCTCTGAATTCGTTGTAAAAATACATATTTATATTCTGATTAAATATAACAACTGCTTTTAATTTCTTTTCATATTGTTATAATGATAATTCTAAGACGCATCCATCCGTTTTCTCAGTGATTTTAGGTTTAAGAGCGCCTCCTTGTTTCTGGTTCACAGTAAAACACCACAGAGGAGTTCATGAGTCTCCAATGAACGCACACACAGTCCATCCTGAGTAGTAGACCACTGTCATCCATTGCTCTCATAGCCGTGTTTATTATACTTCTATAATGAAGGAAAGTTTCTTTCCCCTGTTCACAGTTAGCGACTTCAAAACACATTCGAGGCTCAGTCCATTTTAATCGTTCATATCCAAACGCATGCAAACTTTTCTGTTATTATTAACCTGTTATTTAACTTTTACTCTTATTTATATTTTTCTGTTATGCTTTTATTTATGTCTCTACAGACAACTTAGGTCATTTAAAATCCTCTGTAGCATTATTACCATCAATTGTAGAGATTTAATTTTATTTTTTTTAATCCATGCACAAAACAAGAAGCTCAAAAGAGATGGAGCCGCGAACATAAAGACAGTCAGGAAAATAAATTCCTACCTTCTGTGGGTAAGTGGCGCTTGTGTTGTCAAGGTTACGTTTTCACATATCCATGCTGTGAATTTGAGTAAGTTAGTTTTCAGTGGAGTGCGTTCTGATTGCGCGCTGATCTGTCTATCCCAGTGTTTTTGGCTGGGAGGAGGAGGAGGAGGAGGAGGAGGAGGGAGCGCAGGAAATGATGAGAACCGTTATGTGAGAAATGTGATATGCATCATCTATGTTAAACTACTTCACGTTGTCTAGATCGTTTACGAGGTAAATACTTTCGGGTAAACTAATACGCTCAGCTTTTCAGCAAAATATTTTCAAGTTCATTGTGCTTATGTTAAAAGTAGTGTATGAGTAGGACATACTGTCACTGCGTATTTGAGAGCATTATCTTACTAATTACAAGTAGTCGGCTCAATTTTATAATCGTTTTTATTTTTTTATAACGTAGCACGTTTATTTATGCATAACTCTAGCGCTGTTCTTCGACGCTAATGCAAAAAGCCCGTTTGGAAACAGCGCCTCCTGGGGACTAAAAATGGCATTACCATTAACCGAAACTGCGTCATTTGAGCAGCGCTGTTATTACCGGAACAAACGGAGACGAGAAACCGGAATTCACACATTAACAAAACTGTCATGTAACGCAAAAGGTCAAAACAGCTCTCTTTGTTAAATCGTGTACCTGAACATTTCAATTATTATATATACAGATAGTAATGACAAAGAATATAATTCTGATACCATCAAAGCATGTACCTCATGAATGCTGTCCTTCAAAAAATAACAACGGGAACTGTTGTACACCATAATGAATCTAAATCTACACCAAAATAGTGAAGAACTGAATTGAGAGGTTAGTCGTACAGCATATCATTTGGAGACAACGACAATACACATTCACTTATCATTATTTACATATAATAGTTGACAGGAAACCGCAAGGTAAGAAAGAGAAGAGTAAGAAGAGAAAAGAGGGGGTAATTTTACACTGTACAATAAGACTGGAAAGTAATATTTAGCGTTTAGTAACAATCCTGAAATTTATATAAAAAGATTTAATGAATAAATGCATCAGCCGAATTTTATGAGGAAATTGGCACTTCTATCCCCACATCAAGTTCGGTGTGACTGGACTGCAGTAGAAGTAAACATTTTTTCTTTGCTAGGGAACTGTTGTACACCATAATGAATCTAAATCTACACCAAAATAGTGAAGAACTGAATTGAGAGGTTAGTCGTACAGCATATCATTTGGAGACAACGACACACATTCACTTATCATTATTTACATATAATAGTTGACAGGAAACCGCAAGGTAAGAAAGAGAAGAGTAAGAAGAGAAAAGAGGGGGTAATTTTACACTGTACAATAAGACTGGAAAGTAATATTTAGCGTTTAGTAACAATCCTGAAATTTATATAAAAAGATTTAATGAATAAATGCATCAGCCGAATTTTATGAGGAAATTGGCACTTCTATCCCCACATCAAGTTCGGTGTGACTGGACTGCAGTAGAAGTAAACATTTTTTCTTTGCTAATTTTAGAGTGCATGATTTCAGAATGCAAGAACACAGTGATAATTAATGCAAACTGTCTGTATCAAGCAAACTCTAATAATGAACAAGGTTTAGTCGCACACATTGGTCAAGACCACAAACCTACACATCAAAAAGAAATGAACACACTGGAGTCACTGGGGGTTGCTCAGGCAGACCAATGAGATGGGTCGGACATCATGGAGAAGACCCCGCATTTAACACAGTACCAGAACCCACGGATAACAGTCCAGACTGTGAAGGCTTTTAGCTAAGCACCACGTGACGGTCGAAGACAGATTTGCGCTGTTCTTGGACCTGCCTCTTCCAGCGCTGCTGAGCGTGCTCCACTTTGTTTAGCATGTTGGAGCGAGAGCGAGAACGGGAAAGCACGTCATGGGCGTTGGCGAAGGGCTGCTGATCCTATAACAACAGAGTATAATGCTAGCACACTTTATAGCATATGACTATCATTAGTGACACAATAAAGATCTATAAATGCATCTATTTCATTACACAGATTTTTCATCCAAACGACCAATACTTACAACTTATATTAAATCTTGTATCCATAAAGATGTAGCAAAACACTTACCCCAACATCATCGTCACTCTGAATGAGCTGTGAATGGCCAAACAGCCTTCTCTTCAAAATAGGCTCCAACAGTGTCAGATAGATCATATACAACAACAGAAGGCCCAGAATAGACAGATATGCTATAATGGTGCCCTGTAAAAGAGAGAAAGATGATCATTTCTCTAATATTTAAACTTGCTTTTTTTTTTTTTTAAGTTAGCATATTATATACCATACCATATAAAGACATTGAACTTACTTTGATGGTTCCAGAGCTCCTTTCTTCATATTTGCATTCACAGCGTAAACAGTATGCCTCCACATCTTTGCCTTCAACAGGCATCGGCTCCACCACATGAAGGCAATTACTGTGCAAATGATTGTATTTGAGAAGTTATGGATCAGTGAATAGAGCATCATGGGATTAGTTTATTACAGAAGTTACTGTAGACTCGTATTAAGACTAGTAAATCAATTACCAGTCCTTCAATGAAACGTTTTGATTGTAGATCTGCCCAGCAATTTCCTTATAAGGTGGACAGATACATTTGCACCTGATGTCTTCTGAATTCTGTGAAGAGTGACCACAGATACACAAGCTCATATAAACCATACTTTTGTCAGTTTAGAATCCACCTGACACTGTTTCCGATAAAGAAAGTGTTGATTTATTATTACGCACTATTACCTTTTATTTCGCAGAAACATTGAACATGCTAACGGCTAGTTGGCACCGCCAACAACACAACAGGTTCACAACTACACGAAGTATATCGTTTATGTATTAAAACACAGTAATAAATATCATATTTTACCTTAGCTTCTGATGTTTTTGCGGATAATATCAGCAGGAAACACATTAGCGATGAAAACGTCAACAGACTGACCGCGGCTCTTGAGGTCAATCGATACATCTTTTCGCTTCCGCTAAAGACAACGTCGCCAAATATTGAAGAGAGATGTACCAGAATAACGAGTAGATATTATAGCAGCAAGAACTCTTTTAGTCCAAATAAACGTCAACAAAACAAAGCGTGAGGGCTGGACTCTGTTTGACACATCAGCTGACCATCAGCAGCCGGTCCGCGCTTTATCCCTTCCCTCCGGAAACACGTGGGTGGGAACCATTCTTCCGTAACTGAACAGCGTTCTACCCGAGACTGAGTTCAGCTCTCTCGTTCAAAAAGCACTCCCTCGTATCACTACTATATTCAGTCAGGTGCTATATGCTTCAAACGGCATTAACTACAAATAGATCAGTCACCGTCATTTATTTGAACTTAAATGTGTTGACAGCCTTTTTTAACCTACTTATATCTAGGCTAATATGCCTCATTTTATACAACTTTTTATTCGTAAAACAAGGTTCTTTTTCAGATTTATGGAATGATAAAAAGAGATCCCCTCTTCATGTTTTGATGATTTAAATGTAATGTGTCAACAAAATGAAACAAACATTTTGAACCTGGCTTTAGCCAATGTTCAGATTTCTGTTCTGGAAAGGTATGCAAATGAGTGCATATTTAATTAGATAATGCCTAAATTTCCATATTTTATCATAACATTTTAGAAAATGTGTGCAATTCTTAATTCAACTGTGGAAGTACGGTGAGATCTACTCAAAAATGACACCTGGGGTGTCTTGCCTTAATTGCCATAATTTCTGTTTTAGTGGTTTAACAAAGAAAAGTTTAATTTATCCAAGAACCCCCTGGTTGTAAATCGCTGATCTAGGCTATTGCAAAAGCGTTGCTTTTGATACAACAAAGACATTTTGAGTGCATTTCTTTATTTACATGTTCGATGTACAACCATAAAAATATAAACATTTAATTTACTCTGCATGTCATCAACGAGTAATCAATCCTACATCAAGAGCCTCTTAATCCAAAAATCAGTTTAGGTGATGGAAGTGTGATAGAAGTGAATGCAGAGAAACTGAGAAGTGATATATCAAATGTCTAACCAGTGCCACTGAAAATATTGTGTACATCTACGGTTTCTGACTGGGAAAAAATGAAGAATACATATATGTCATGTATGAAGTAGGCTACAATGCAAAAAAAGAATACAATATAGTAACATGAGAGCTGATGCTAATTTTTTTTTACATAATGTACAACACATTCAAACTTGCAAAAATGACTTTAACTGCTTTAACTTGCATATTTAATTAGATAATGCCTAAATTTCCATATTTTATCATAACATTTTAGAAAATGTGTGCAATTCTTAATTCAACTGTGGAAGTACGGTGAGATCTACTCAAAAATTACACCTGGGGTGTCTTGCCTTAATTGCCATAATTTCTGTTTTAGTGGTTTAACAAAGAAAAGTTTAATTTATCCAAGAACCCCCTGGTTGTAAATCGCTGATCTAGGCTATTGCAAAAGCGTTGCTTTTGATACAACAAAGACATTTTGAGTGCATTTCTTTATTTACATGTTAGATGTACAACCATAAAAATATAAACATTTAATTTACTCTGCATGTCATCAACGAGTAATCAATCCTACATCAAGAGCCTCTTAATCCAAAAATCAGTTTAGGTGATGGAAGTGTGATAGAAGTGAATGCAGAGAAACTGAGAAGTGATATATCAAATGTCTAACCAGTGCCACTGAAAATATTGTGTACATCTACGGTTTCTGACTGGAAAAAAATGAAGAATACATATATGTCATGTATGAAGTAGGCTACAATGCAAAAAAAGAATACAATATAGTAACATGAGAGCTGATGCTAATTTTTTTTTACATAATGTACAACACATTCAAACTTGCAAAAATGACTTTAACTGCTTTAACTTCCACTACATTCTAAGTAGTTGTCTGAAGTTTCAAAATAAGCTGCTCAAACATATTTTCACAAAAAATGGCAAATTTTGTGAAATTACCTATAATATATAACAAGCAATGTAGTTGCTCTTCTTTTTTCTGACTATAATTCAGGCTGTAATTAACATGTTTTTGTAACACAGTCACTTCTGGGCAATAAAGGAATGAAACAGGAAGAATAATTTTCTTGAAAGGTGGCAGTTCATTTTAGAATGGTTAGAAGGGCAGCAATAAATCCATTCACTGGAAAAACAGTTCATTTTCTTCAGGAGAAAAAATTCCAATGGTTTGTTTTGATTTGATGTATTTAGGAAAGTTTCTTGTGAGTTCTCATCTCATCAGGTTCAAGAATTCATCTTGAATCCGCAAGTATGCAGGCGGCCAAGAACATTCAGGAATATTTGTTCCAGGTCAGTCATTTAAAATTTCTCTGGAGCACCAAATATTTATTCCGTACAAGATTATTTCACAAAATTCAGGGGCGTAGGAATCTCAAAACTTTGGAGCGGAGAAATCTGATAAATGATTTTGGAAACATTTCTCTAGACTCTTGTGCAGTGTAGTTGAAGAAGTTTTGCGGATGGGCCAGGACATCAAACAGGGCCTTCATAAGCTTCTTGTCCTGTAAAGTTAATAAGAAAACATAAATGGACTTTAAAAGTCATTTACAAAACACCAGTACAATATATTTTGCCGTCTTCCACAGGGTGGCACTATTGTCTGTTTTTTCCTACTGGGATCTGCAACGGCAAACCTCTTGATTTTAGTACTTGCCTCACATTAATTACTTAAAATCAAGTTACAATGAAACCGGTTTAAAAGTTGCTTTGAAAGACAATTTAATGCACTATACCTTAAGAATTTCTTGATGATTCTCAGAGGCATATAATCTTCCATCCCTAACAATGTCCTCAATGAGCTCCTGGTAGTCCTCTAAAAGAAGCACAATAGACAGCATATAAATACTCAAGCTACTTTAAACACTTATCACACAATACAAACACGTCAGCAATTCAATTCTCACCATCATACGTTACATATGGCACTTGGAAGCCTTTTCCACTGTTTCCTTCATTGGAGCGGAACTGGATCCAGAGTTTCTTGGAGCGGGAGGTGAAGGCGATGGGTCGCTCATATGTCTGGCACGTCTCATAAGTCGTCACTGAATTAGGTAGAGCTGTGGGAACAGTAAAGAAACTTCTAAAGACCTCTTCAGTGGCTTATTCGAACCCCAAGAGATGAAGGAGAGCCCTAATGAGCCCATCGATGCGGCTCCTCCCCCCATTTCCTCACATGTGTATTCACAATCACCCTGCTGAGCCAATGCATTCAACACCAGATCACAGCCCTGCAACACTCACAGCTCTTCCGCATGACCAAATAGTCCCCACACTCGTCTTCAATAGGAAGGTAGATCTCAGGTACCACAATGAGGATTCTGCGCTTGGGCGGAGGGGTGATGGTCCAGGTGCACTCGATGTTGGCCGGGTAGTTGCCGGGGTAGTTGGGGGATTCGATATAGCCGGTGAATTCTCCCAGCTCTCCTCCACAGTGTCTGTCTGGCAGGAACAAATTAAACCACTTAGGCTAGACTATACAGAGAACTAAAATACATTTTTTAATGAGAAAAGGATAGGCTGAATTGAAAGAATAATCCCAGTTTTTTTTTAAAGTGTGAATTGCACTTACTTTTGCACTGCATAATGTTTGTGGATCCATCAAAATCAGTAGTAGTGTTTCCAGGGCAGGCAATGCAGTAGTTTTGGCCAAACTCCATCTGATAGGTTCCAATGGGGCAACGAATGCAACGGTGGGTGCTGGTATTGTAGTAATGCCCTGGGGAGCACTGAACTGTAGGGACACCAAAATCAGTTCTGAAATCAGCATTTCTGTCTTAAAATTCTACTAAATATAAAAGAATTAAACATTTTAAGATAATACCCTTCTTTAAATCTGCTTATAAAACTGTTGTCCCAGCCTGACCAGTTAAAAAAAGAGTTGTAAACCCCTTAAAATTTGGTTGGGAGACCTGCTTAAGCTGTTTTTTTTCCAGCAGAGTAGTCTTCATTAATGTAAATATACACTTTTGTTCAAAATGGGTCAGTCAGAATTTTGAAATAAATCCTTTTTATTTTCAGTAGTGATGGCATAAATTGATCAAAAGTGACAGTAAAGACATTTATAATCTTACAAAAGATTTCCATTTCATATAAATGCATCACAGCGTCCACAAAAATATGAATACCCACAATTGTTTTCAACGCTGATAATATACGAAATGTTTCAGAGCACCAAATCAGCATATTAGAATTATTTCTGAAAGGTCATGTGGCACTGAAGACTGAGTAATGGCTGCTGAAGATTCACATTTTCCATCACATGAATAAATTCAATTTCAAAATACATTAAAAAGAAAACAATTAAATTGTAAATAGTTACTGACCCCAAACTTTTGAACAGCAGTATAATCTGACTTGTATTATAGCCATATTCTTCTCACCTTTAGTCTCACAGTCTTGGAAGGACACAGAACCATCATATTTGGTTGTGAGGCTTCCTCCACATGGGAAACAGGAAGTTCGGCCGACCTCAGGCTGATAGGTGCCTTGTGGGCAGGGCAGACAGGGCACAAAACCATCATGGGAGAACTGACCATGACGGCACTGACCTAGGATCAGAAAACTGTTAAGACAATGCCAGGCAAACCAAGTTGAATACTTTATTGCCTTCCAAAGAAAGCAAACTGCAGTGATGTCATGCAAGTTCATTATCTAATAAACTGCAGGCCTCCTATCGTCCCTCTAGTGACCACACTAAATTGGCTACCACTGAGACGGACCCTAACAGCCCCTTTAGTTGTGTCTATCAGCAGAAAGTAGAAGATGGCATCTGCATAGTAAGCTGCTTTTGATGACCGTGTCTGAGAAGCAGAAACATGGTGGTGCCTTTTTTTTCTCCAAACACAAGACAGGTCTGGAATTCTTTGTTGGTGTGAATGAATCAGACAGTTGAGGATTTGCAGGACTGCATGAAATGACCCCTCCCAACACACTCACAATCAAGCTCAACTAGCCATGAGCCTGAGAGATTATCATCAATACAGGTATGCTTCCTGCCTACTGCATAAACAAAAAACAGGATGTGATTCATACTCTTTCTTTGCAACCTTAGATATCTGGGGGATGACATCTCTCAGGATAAACGGATAATAGGATGAAATGTGGTACAGGTCTTGCACAGCGAAGAAAATGGAAACTCTGTTAAGAAAATGTTATT